TCTATAAAAAAAGGTCTCCCAAAACTTAATATAATAAAGTATTCAATATTGACAAAGACTGAAGTTTAGTTGTTAAAGGTTAAATTACAATTTTCTCGCAAGAACGAATATTATTTGGCTTAAAATGAATATTGCAATTTTTACTCAAATTTCTATAAAGAGCGAAATAAATAATTCAGAAAATGTACTCATTCGCATTTCTCTCAATTGTCAAAAATTTAATACGTTGTATATCATGTTTGCTCACTATTCTCTCACTCGGTGAGTAAGTGTTGTAAAACCCATTTATGAGATATCTTTAAACAGTTGAATTTTAATTGTATTTTTAAATAATTTCGATAAAATTTTCTGCAATAATTTGATATTTGAAATTTTTAATATTTTGGAAACAATATTTTAATTCAAATATGGGTATAATGCCAAATATTGCTAATATTACGAGTATTTCATTCAAATTTTGCCTTAACAAAATTTTTTTTTTTAAAGTATCAAAAAAAAAAACAAAAAAATCGAGAATTGTCGCAAATTTAATCAAGCATTAAGAGAAAATATTTTTTTTTTTTCCTTTTTCCTTTCTATACTTAAGATTGTTTTGAATTAGAAACGAAAAAGAAAATTATGTTAATACGAAAAAGAGATGAGAGAAGGTGATAAATTTTAAATTAAGTGGAATATGAATGATACAAGAAACGCGAGAATCAAACATATCAATCTCATCAATCTTATTCTTATATTATTTAAAAAAGCAGAGAAAACCAAAAAAAAAAATAAAATTGAGAAAATTTTAGAATCTTGTTTGAATCTTTAACATTAATCATGTTAAAGACATTCGAAATATATTCCATACGTTTATATAAAAAAAAGGTAATGGTTATATAAAGGGAATCCAATCCATATTCATTATGCGAAAAGAAAATAAAAGAAGCTCAAAACCAAAATATTATATTAAACACATATATATATACATATATACATATATATACCACTACTCGTATATGTAAAATTTATAATAATACCAAATCGATATTATCTCTGTTTCGTTTTATATTTTCATTTCATAGCACCGCACGCTTAATTTTTAATAAACTCCCACCCAAAATTATTTTATGAGATAAAGATCCTTTTTAAATTCGTCATTATATTTTATACAATATTTATTCAAATTGTCTTATTTCCGGCAACAAGAAATCTTTAAAATAAAATCAGGATAACATCAGTTTATATTTTATTCCGTTAAGTCATTATAATTAATATACAAGAAATTGGTAATTTACTAAATAAGCATATTTTTATAAATACAAAATCATTTTATAAATATAAATTTCCCCTTAATATAAATGTTATAGGATATTATTGTTATACAAAAGGAAATTTTTTTCATATCGTTAATTAATGAGAGTCAAAAAACTCTGCAATGAGTAAATCTCAAAAAGTTATTAACTTTTCTCATTTCTTATTAAATTTTACCACATTATCTTTAACATTCTAAATCAGGGATCAAAATTGAAAATAAATTTGATATTTAATTTTTTAAAAGTCTTGTGCGAGGCTAACGAAAACGGTTGAATGTAAACAACAACACCACCTATATTAAATTTTGATTTGGTCTTTAACCACAAGTCTAATAGCAGAAAATATGTTTAAACTAGAAAATGATAAATTACAAAAAAATTTACAATGAAACCACAAAAAAAAAAAACAAGTAAAAACATTTTAGTTGGCCTTCACCGACCGAATTATACCCTACATCTTGTAAATTTGATTTTGTAAAAATTATTTGATAAGGTATTAAAATTTGATAAGGTACATAACAACTCAAAAAGGTCAAATTCAAATCAGGTTTAAGTATTGGATGAAATGACGTGTCAACATTTAGAAAATTAGGTTTAAGTTTCAGATTAGTTTTTCTTAATTATTTTTTGAAAATCTAGAAAAAATTTGAACTTGACATAAAATTAAAAACCACCAATAATATCAGCTATTGCTAGTCACCACAGAATTTTATTACTTTACACCTATGCCATTCACATATGTTTTTACAAATGAAACATACATAAATATATAGGAACGCGTAGGAGTATAGAATTTTTCCTATTTTTACGAGTATTATCTAAATCTTTTGAGTTGCAAAAATTTTGATTTTATTACTTATATTTGGTACTTATTATCGATACTTAAAACATTTTAATGACATCGTCTTAATATATATGTAAAATAAAAACAAATAATAAAAGTATATTTGAAAGTTTGTATTTTACAAGATGATTCCGATAAATATTTTACAATACTTAAAATTTTAAGCATATGTTTTCATTTTTTTAGTTGCAAAATTGTTATTGAATTTAGTATCCAGGTTGACAAACATGTGTTCGAATAGACTCAAAAGTATAATATATTTGAATAATAATATTACATAATCCTTTTATGAGAAAATTCAATTAATAAATTTATAGCATAAATAAAATGCCCCTAAATATATGCAATTTTTCCTAAATAATATTTTTAAAGAACTTACAGCTACAAAAATTATAACTATGTATTTGCAATACCACAAAAGGAATTTCAAATGAATTTCAATATGTTTTAAGGGTCATTCATATATTATAATAAGTTACCATCGTATATTAATCAACATAAATTTTTAATTTAACCATTGGATAATTTTCCTTTTATAAAATTTAAATTGTACATAACACGCAACCGGCTATCGAATAATATTTGGCAAATATTTGACTAAATATTTAATATTTTAATAAAAATTTAATAATATTTAAATATAAAAAGGCTGATGTGGTAGTTATACATACTTATATATATATATGTAAGTATTCAATATTTAATAAGTAGCAAAATAGTTATTGGAAGCGATGAGAAAACCAAAAAAAAAAAATACAAGAGAGAAAGCGTAAAAGTTTTTTTTTTTTATAGTTACAAAATAAAGTTCAAGGACAATTTATTTATTCATCCAAAATGGATTTCAATATAAAATATAAAATCTATATTTTCAAGATTATATATGTATATGTGTAATAATATATAGAATAGAGAGAAAAACAGAGAAAATTAAATAGGCATACAATTTACATGTGTGCATATAAGATTATTCTTCAAAGAATTTCCACATTTGGAGTGGCAATTTCAAACAAAAGGGCTAACTATATAAAAAAAAAATAGTATATAAAACAGAAAAATAATATTATATTTTTTATTATTACATACTTAAAGAAACAAAATTTATTTTAAATATTGAATTTATATCACATGATTTTACGATACACACAGACTAATAAAAAACCATATTTGCTCTATACCATAGAAATTTTCAATAAAAAATTATTACATTTGGCTACTTTCCTAATATCGTATAAATAATATATACGTTATTTAAGTATTATTATGTGTATTCAAAAACTTATTTATAAAATCCTTAATTTTTACAGAAGTAGACATGAATCTAAGCAAAGTATATTATAAAAATTACTAGAGAATTTCATATAGACCCGAAAAAAATAGGAGAAGAAGTTTAAGCACAATAATTATGTTATACAATTTTACAAAAAAAAAAAAATATGGTTGAATATTTTTTAAATATTCAATTTCTATTATAATGGTTTTCCAATATTTTTGTTGAATAATCGAAAATTTATTAAAATTAATTTTATTTTTTCCATATTTTTTCTTATTAAATTCTTTAAAAGTTATATAAAAGTTTGAATATTTGAGAAAAACAAGTGTTATATGAAATATAAAAATTCATATAATTTAAAATTATGAATAAATTGCAAAACATTTAGACTAGACGCCATTAAAACTACTTATATATTACAAGTGCATAGGATGATTCTTGTATAAGCAGCACCATTTGTGTTGTTTTCGAAATTATTGAGCCATTATATAATATATATTTCATGTATAAAATTAAATAACTAATTGAATAAACTAATTGAAATTTAGAAATTATATTTAGTATATACTATAAATAATGAAATATATAAATTCTATTGGGTGATTCTTTGATAATGTGCGATTATATGTGGGTGAACGTATCTACTATAAAAATTATTGCACATTTCCTTAAATTTTAGTTGCTGCAAATGTTAAGCACATGTAATACTGTTATTAAAATAAATAAAATATTTCTTGTATATGTAGAAAATGATATGAAATTATTATAACACCAATTTGCCGTTAAAGAAACCGAAAATCAAATTCAACAACAATTTTCTAATAGTGAAAGCTTAATCTTCGTTTTTGCTCTACGTCTTTTTAGAAATTGTATTCTAAACGTTATGCAAACCGAATCTCAATCATCATAAATGATATTTTTCTAATAATGTGTCAACTTCAACTATCATTTTGTTTTTTTCTCGGTTTTTTTGCCTAATTGAGAAAATTAGAAATTTTTTTGTTTAAAAATGTTTAAAATGTTTGTAATTTGCAGTAGAATTTTTCAAAACTATAAAAATTAATTATGTTATGAAACTAAAGGGTTTGTCCAGTGAACCGTAATTGCAAACCTTCAATTATGATTAATCAGAAATTTGAATAAATTTGATTGTGTTAATCTGAATCGTTTGTCTGTGAATGAAGTCCGAAATTATTAAAATCAAAAATATTTTATTTTCCAAATTTTACTCCCTGAATATTTTACTCCCTTCTATGAATAATCTAATAAACTATATCGGTATATTCCATCTAGGTTCGACTTTTTTATAAAATTAAAAATAATAAGAAAATTTAAACTGCAAATGATTGAGCTTCAGTATGATGAGAAATAATTTATGATTTAGCTCACATCAATATTATTTCAAATTAAGTAATTGTTATTTTAGATGAATGGTCTTACAACTCCAGAACATAGAAGACCTCATATGAATATTATTAAGACTACTATAAAATCTGTAATAAATTATGTAAATTATTTTAATTAAAATTAAATTAAATAAAAAATGTATGTCCATATAATAATTTTCTTAAAAAAAAATATTTTCTAAACTTACCACATGACATAAAACTTTTCCAAATATCCATTCTTTTAAAAATGTATATAATGGTGTAAATGGTATTGCCAATATACATAACATTATATCAGATAATGCCAAATTACTGATGAATAAATTTGTAACAGTTAACATTGATTTATTGCTAAATACCACATAACAAACAAGAAAATTCCCAAATATTCCCAATATAAATATTGATGTATATAATGAACCAAAAATAATTTGTATTGCTGTATTATCCATTAAATCTGTTATATTTGTGGGTCCATTATTTTTAACTAAAGTTTTATTTTCAATGGTATGTTCATTATCCCAATTAGTGTAATTTAAAAATAATGTTAAATTACTGCTATCCAATGAATCCTCATCCATTTTGTTTCTTTATTGGTGCTGATGGTGATTATTTTATTAATTTTCGTCCTTTATTTTTTTATTTTAAAATCCGATTTTTTTCTGTTTTTTTTATTGAAAATGTTCATTGAATACAAAAAAAAAATATAACAATTTATTTGCAATTTTCTCGGATTTTAATTTTTTTTTCTTTTATAATAATTTTTTTTATTTTATTTTATTTTTAATATGTTGATTTTGTTGACAAATGTGCGATGATTACTAGATTGTAATAATGATAATTAAATTTTTTTTCTCTCTGTGTTTTTTTATTTTATAGCATGAGAATTTTCAATTTTCGATTTTTCATTTTGTTTTGTTTTTTTTTTCTTCAAAAATCCATTAAAACCATAATTGAATAGATTTTATGGTATTAGTCTCGGTATTATTAAAAAACAAAAATGTGGAAAATATTAAAATAATCAAAAAAATAAAAATAAAATAAATAAAGTTGCTGAAACCTGAAATTAAATTGAAAAATGTAATTAGAAAACTTTATAAAAATTTCAGAAGACTAAAAAAAAAATTTTTTTTTAATTGAATAAAAAGTTTCAAAAAAAAAAAAATTCAAAGGGTTTTTCAATGCACATACAAAATATAATTTATTAAATTCATAAAAAAATTATAATTTGCATAAACATACATACATTCACACATACATAAATTATATAATTTAATTTTTTAATTTTACAGAAAAATAATTCAGAGAAAATGCTATTAATGAACTTCAAAAGGATTTTTAAAAAAAAAATCATGGATTTTGAATTTGTAATAGAAGTCTTGGAATGAATTGAGAATTCCTAACAAATACGGGCTTTCACTGTAATTACACAAAATCTCTTGGGCAATCAAATGGTAATTATCATTTTTAAAAATTAATAACTAAATTTGAAATTTGTATTTAGTCTATTATTCTATTTTATTGAACTTGATTTAATAGTATTTTTTTATTGCTGCTTGTAATAATATTCGTTCGGTAATAGTATAATGTACTTTAATAACAGTATTGGTTCTCTTTCCATCTCTTACACTCAAGAATGTCATTGTCATGGAATAGTTGTGAAATTAATATTAAAATTTGAAGTGAAATTAGTGTCTGTTTCTTTAGTATTACCGGAAACTAATTGTAAGTGTAAATTGTAAAGCAGGAAGCAAAAAAAAAATCAATTGAAAAATGAGAGTTTCAAATAAACGTCATTAATATTAGTATATTTTCTCTTAGTAGGATAAGAGCCTATCATAAAATTTATCTCAAAATTTCTTCCGCTACCTATTTTTCTTTTTTATACCCGTACGAACGTATGTTCGAAGGGTATACTAAATTTGCCTTACCGTTTGTAACGCTAAGAAATAACGGTGTTAGATATAGACTCAAGTGTATGTTTTTGATCAGCGTCAAATTCTGAGTTGATTTAGCTTTGTCTGTCCGTCCGTCCGTCCGTCCGTCCGTCCGTCCGTCCGTCCGTCCGTCCGTCCGAACGATAACTCAAAAACTAATTGAGCTAAGTTCACCAAATTTTCACAAATGATTTATTGTAGTAAGTGCCAGAACCCTATTTAAATTGGACGTGATCGGGGTACCGCTTCGGGTAGCTGCCATACAACTTCAAAATTTATTTGGCCATATCTCAGAAACTATAAAAGTTGTGGTATTGAAATTTCACACAAACAAATATATTAATAGGGCCAATGTGACTCATAAAAGTCGTTGAAATCACTTGGCTCCTTCTGGTACCTGCCATACAACTTCAAAGTTATTTGACTATATTTCAGAAACTATTAAAGCTATGGTATTGAAATTTCACAAAAACGAATATATTAGTAGGGCCAATGTGTCCCATAAAAGTCGTTGAAATTACTTGGCTCCTTCTGGTACCTGCCATACAACTTCAAAAGTTATTTGACTATATTTCAGAAACTATTAAAGCTATGGTATTGAAATTTCACACGAACGAATATATTAGTAGGGCCAATGCGTCTCGTAAAAGTTGTTGAAATTACTTGGCTCCTTCTGGTACCTGCCATACAACTTCAAAAGTTATTTGGCTATATCTCAGAAACTATAAAAGCTGTGATATTGAGATTTCACACAAGTGAATATATTAGTAGGGCCGATGTGCTTGATAAAATTCGCTAAAATTTCTTGGCTCTTTCTGGTAGCTGCCATACAACTTCAATAGTAGTTTGGCACAACCAGTATTTTGAAAAACACATAGTACTGAAATTTTGCATAAATTAATATGGTAATACGGCAATTTAAAGTCATAGTCTGCCCCATAGTTAGTTATGGCACATTAGTTATTCGCACATAGGACAACAAATTCGTACGGGTATCACAGAGTTGACAAAGTCAACTCTACTTTTTTTCTCGTTTTCTTTAAGTCAGAACGATAATAATTATAATGGTGAATTAATTCACAATTTTAAGTATTTGTGATACTCACTTCTCTCCCTTCCTTCTCTCATTTATTTATTTAGTATAGTATATTTTAAAATTCTCTTAAAGTTAATTCTTTATAACTCTCTTTGGAACCTATACTTATCTAACATAAAATTAATTCAACAATATTGAAAAATATTTATAATAGATAAAATCCTTTCATACAAAACAAGTCCAAATTATAAATAATTTTTTTCCCAAATAAAGGTTTTTTAATATGAGTTAGACCTATTGTAAACTCATGCTATAAAATATGTAAAATTATTATAGATATAAAATTACCAAATATATACACTAACAGTTTTGGAAATTATACAAAAAAAAATAAAGTTGGGTCAAACCAATGGTTTGTATTGTAGCACTTTTCCCTTCAACAAGTGAAAATACTGCTTTTAAATACAATCTGTATATATCCACCACACTATTATAACTATTTTTATTCATAAACGAAACTATTTCTAGGATTGCATATATTTAGGATCATGCATACGAGTACATGCAGTCTTTGAAATAAAGCGAAAATTAATATAAAATGGGGTTAACATAATGCTTGATTTTAAGGTTTAATTGTGTGAGTTAAGAAAAATAATTATATTTTCTAATGTCATGGAATTCACCGTTAGCTTTTTGTGTTTGTAGAAATTTGGAAAAGCTTGCGGTTTCGGAAATATAAGGTGTTAAAAATTCAAATTTTACAAATTTCAAGAGGCGATAACTTGAGAGGGGGTGGAGTTGGAAAAAATTTTTTTTCTAACGAAATGAACTATTTGTCAATATCTAAAAGTCTCTTAAATTTCAAGCTTCTACAGGCTGCGGTTTAGAAGAAAAACGAAAGCAAAAATTTGGAAAAAAAGGACTTTAGATAACGGTAAATGTGAACGGCCATTTTGTTTTGCTAAAGTTTAACTATAGTATACCGCGCTAGGGGAAGCAAGTCACTGCCTTTCTGCGTTTGAAAAATTTCAAAAATGCTTATAGTTTCATTGCAACGAATAGTTAAAAAAGTCCATTTTTAGGGTTTTGGGGTGGTATAACTTCTAGGGGGGGGGAGATAGGTAAAAATTTTGTTCTACGAAAATAAGTTTCTAGTAAAGATCTATATACATATAAAATTTCAGTTTTATATCTTCAACTGTGTAGAAGTTTTGTAAACAGACACACGGACAGACGGACGGACGGACGGACGGACAGAGTGAAACTAATAAGCACTTTTTTTCAAAAATTTTTTGGAAAAGTGCTAAAAACCATAAAAATTCGTGACGTTAATCCCCACACCATGACTACAACAGCATTTAATAATTGAATACCAACATGTATAAAATATAAAAAAAATTATTTTGGTAAATTATGGTAAAAAATTTTTTTTTTCTGGTAAAAATGGTATTTCTTTGTAATAACGTTACTGATGCTAGATAAACAAAAAAAAAAATAAACTCAAAGGATGTAAAATTGAAAATATTCAGTAAATGAATGGAAAATTAATATATGAGCCTTGATATTAAAAAAAAAAAAACAATAACAAAACCAGGGAGATAAAATTTTAAATTTTAAATTTTCTATAGTATTTTAAGGTATAAAAATTACAATAGAAACCCTTTTATATAAAGGTAACGATTCACTTAAACAATTAATTAAATTAATTAACAACAATTTTATGATTTTTTTATTCATGACCCGCACTTCAGACAATAAGGGAGGTTATGTGATGGCACCAAATTTCACATGTGGAATTTTCGGCCGAAATTGCGTTTCCCAATGCTAGGGAAACATAAGTAAACTATTTATAAGAGAAATATCGGTCGGTCTATCTGCCTATCTGCCTATCTCTTTGTCACTCTATCTAAGTTTACATTTTGGGCCAAGTTTACATTTTCGCGCATATAAATAGAAAAAATCAACCAATTTTCTTGAAATTTATTATAAATTGAATTCAGTGTGTTAAAGAAATAAATTTACACATTTTTTGGCGCTATCAGGGCTCGAAAACTTAACTTTCACTAAAGGCTGCTTTCACATTTTTTTAACATGTCTATGTAAATAATATTGATGAAATTTTATGAAACTTTATGATTGGGTTTTGTTTGATATCTGAAGACTTTCCAAAAACTGAAAAACTTTCCAGGCAATTTGGATGACATAAAGTCTATCTCAATTAGGAACCAAAATTATTTTTTTTTCTAAGTATGTTAACTAAAAATTTGCTGGAGTTCTTAAAATTTGGAAGAAATGTTTAAATGGCATTTTCACAATCTTTTGCAATATTTTTTACTAAAATGAACAATATACACCTTGCGGTCGGATATGTGCTGATCACATCAGATTGTTTTTTATTTTAAATAAATATTTTATATTTAAATTTAAAAGTTTTATAAGTTCATAAAGAAAATTACTCCGAAAATTTCTGTTTGTTATTTGGAAAAAATGAATTTTTTATTAAAACACATACCGGACCAGAGTTGCTAATTTAGTATGTTTAATCCAAAACCAAACCACATCCAATATATTTTCCCAAATATTAAAAATTACCTTATAATAATTGGAAACCTAAGGAATATAATATATAATTAAATTATTATTAATTTGTTTTCCCGTTATGCATAGGTTAAAATTAAGTATAATACATGAATAGTGAATGAAATAATAATGACAGAGGAGATACATACGTGATGATTACAAATTAAGTTGTGGTATTTTTTGTAAAATATTTAAGTATATGTTTGGAACAAGAACTATTAATTGTTATTAAATTGCATATTTACAATATTACATATGTTTAATTGGAAAACTTTAAAAAAATAGGGTTTCGAATCGTATCTAATGATAAAAACACATATGAAATAATTATGGATCCTCCTATTTGTAATTGCATTTAGTAAACTTGATTAATACTTAAATTTAAAACAAAGTACACCGCTCCTATACTTGCTCATACCGACAAATACATGACAACTTCAGGATTTAAATGGCATATGCTTAGTGATTTGGTGAAAAAAACTTAAGAGTAATATTCTAAATATACAC